ATTTGATAGTGAATCACGACTTTCAGAGAATCCAAGCAATCTATTCATCCCCTATTTTCTAACACCATGTACTTAAGTCTTAGTTGATGTTGTTGATTTGTTGATTTGTTGATTTGTGGAGACTAATTAAGTCTTAGTTGATGTTGTTGATTTGTGATAGTATGTTAGCGTCCTACATTATCTACACCTAGTTTCTTTTATATCACCTTACCTTTATACATTGAGCTTTAATGTAATTGTGAACCTACCCTCGATATCAATAATAAATCTCTCTACTTTATAAATAGATGTAGCATGATTACACTAATCATGTGGCCCATATAATTCTTTTATCTTATTTATATTTCTTGCATCCTATAATTGTGTTCTTGTCGGTTGAATACATAACATATGGTATTAAAGCTATGGTTGAAGATTGGATGGAAAGATTAAAAAGTTTAAGGGCTATGATTTTGGATTTTGGAAGATGCATATCAAAGATTAGCTCTCCCAAAAAAGGGTTACATAGACCCTTTTCTGAACACCTGAGAGAAGGAAATAGGAGGATTGGGTGTTACTGGACCGACATAATCCATGTGTGGTAAGGTTTTCATTGGCGATTAATGTTTCATACAACACTGTCAATGAGAAAATATATATATACTAAACAATTTTTTTCCAGTATTTACAAAAAATTCTAGTCTGCAAATAAGTTTTTTCTTGATTTAGCAATTGGCGATACAAAAATGAAAGAAGGCGGATTTGTGACAAATCATGTGAATGAGTTTACCTATATTGGGATCATTTAATATTAAAATATTCTTTTATGTTATTATCTTCTTTTCTCGAGAGTTGGTTCTACATGGTTACAAAAGTTAGTATTTCATCTAGAACTACTAAGCTTTCATTAGAATACATTCACGATCTAATACGAGAAGAGGATATATGAAGGAAGAAAGTAAGTGGGTGCTCGGGTTCCATGTTAAGTATAGAGGGCATGGGAAAATTCCTATACGGGTAGGGGTAATGGCAGCGGAAGATCAAAATCAAGAACGATAGATCAATTTAAGAATAGGAAATATATCGTCTATAAGAATTTGAAAAGAAACTTGACACTTCTTTAATAAATTCCTAAAACCTACAATTAATAAAGGTAAGATATAAGAGAATGTAGCAGCCGATTTTGATACACATTCATCTGTTGCATAGAAAGGCCAATTGAATCATGAATTATGGAGTGTGGTACATTGTTCCATGTCAGTCCATGTAAAGAAGGGATGCACATCTCATATCGATACTAACTTGATCATCGGAGGTCGCTCTCGGGATGCAAGTCCTGAGGGGACTCTAACGATACTCATTTATGAGTGTAACAGGAATCCCATTGGGGTTCGCTAGCGGCATCGAAGCACTTATCTGAGATATCGACTCGATCATCCTCGTGATGATTTTCATGGTTTCATAAGATATGATGTGGATTTTAGATATCATCACTAGAAGGTGAAAAGGGGGAATTTGGTACTTGCTCAGGTATGGAAACAGAGAACCTTATACATTGTTGAGGTATGTACAGATACATAAAACATAACTATTTAGGTTACGGGTACATCTATTTTGTTTCACCAGATACTTGGGGAACATGAGCGAGAATGGTATGAAGATGATAACTAGAAAAGGCATGATTCTAAATCTGTAATGTGTGACAATTGGTTTTTATAAGCTATTTAGTTTAAGAAGTTGCGAAATTGAGAACATCTCCTAATATTAGGAAAGTTGAGAAGGTTCAAGTTGATGTGTGCAACCCTACATTAATTTATTCAAATGGAGGACTGTTCTACTATGTTACCTTTATATGTAATTCGACGAGAAAGGAATTGATTTATTTTATGAAAAACAAATATGAGTTCTTCAATACCTTTAAGAATTATAAGGTTGTGGTAAAGAATGATAATAACTAAAAGATCAAGTATTTAAGTTCTCACAATGAGGAAGAATAAAAAAACAAAGAGTTTATTGATTATTATGTTGAGAATTGGATTAGTATGATGAAGGTTGTTCGATCCAAAGAAACCTCAATAGAATGGAGTTGCAGAAAGAATGAAATGACAATGAGTATGAGGCTTCATTTAGCGTTATTAAATATGTTTTGGGAAAATTGAGTAAGACGACAACTAATCTAATCAATCGTAGGCCTTCTGTTCTGATAGGGTTCAATATTCCCAAAGAGGAATGACAAGATCAACAAGTGAATCTTCCATACTTAATTTCTTGAGGAGTGAGTCCAGGTTTCCCATTTCAGAAATGATGGAGAAGAAAATTATAAATACCAAACCAAGCGTGATACTATGTTAGCACCCAATATTCTCTAGACAAAGTTAATTTTTTGTATCTCTTTAACTCAATATATTGAGTCTCAATGTAATTATAAACCTGACCCCAAGACATATGATAAATCTCTCTAGTTCGACCGTCGATGTAGCATGATTACAATGTTAAGTTGTTTAGTGTGATTCACCTTTCAACTCATAGCTGCTAGACAGACCAAGCACGAGATCTCACTCCTATATTAGTTTCGACACCAAAATATGTCATTGGCTAAATCTGGTAGAGTTTCTAGGCTTGGCCTTACTATAGGATTTTAGGTCTTTTCCTTCTATGTATAAATTCATTAAATTCGTGTAACAAAAGTTGAGCAAGCAAAATTGTAATTTGGAAATTATATATATATATATATATATATATATATATATATATATATATATATATATATATATATATATATGATTACTCTGATCGTGAGATCTATGTTACATACAATGTTATGGTTTCTTTGTTTTCATTATTACTTTGTGTTTAAAATCATTTATCATTTTGTTCAAGTGCTTATACCTTAACAACTGGTATCAGAGCTATAGTTGAATAATAGGATGGTTAAGATCAACAAATTTGAAGGTCACAATTTTGGGTTATTGAGAATACAAATCGAATATTACTTCTACCAAAAGAAGTTACTCAAACTTTTGGCCGAAAAGAAACCAGAAATGGTGAAGCATGAGGATTGGAATCTACTGGATTGGTAGGATCTTGGCGTAGTAAGACTATCACTAGAAAAGAATGTAGCTTATAATGTTGTCAATGATAATACTACTTAGGCTATCCTCATTAGCATTCCAACCTAAACTAGTTTGTTTTATTAAAAAAAACTAATTTCTTTCTCCTCCACCTATACAACCCAACTAAATCCAATTATTCACATCCATTAGCAATCTAATCCAACCTAATTTTATATTAAAAAATAATATTAATATTGATCTTGTTTTATAGAGAAAAATTAATTATGTATTTCAGTATATTTTATTTAACTTTTTATTATAAATTAATTGTAATTAATAATAAAACTATTTTTAATTATTAAAATTGATTTATCTTTACCAATAGCTAATGGACACATTGCTTTATTTTATGTTGAAAAAGGCAAGCCTTTCTGAACTTGGTTTGTGCCGGCGGCCTAGTTCACTATAAAATATTTATTTTTATTTTCTTTTTTTTGACTTTTTATAGATGAGTCATTGGGGTCACCAATGGGGATAGTTTTATGTCCTGTTAAAGGCTCTATCCAAAATGTATGAAAAACCCTCAACAAGAAAAAGGTTTTCTTGATACGACAATTCGTTAACACGAAGATGAAGGAATGTGACTTACTGATAGATCATGTGAATGAATTTAACTCAATCATATCTAGACCGCTCTCAGTTGCTATTAAATTCAAAGATGAAGTCCAATCCATTTATTATTAAAATCTATACCTAAGATCCTCTACCTAAAATTTGAATTTTTTACCAGTTTGACTCTTGGTCAAACTTTGATGGATTTGAGTAATTAGCTGAGGATTGGTCTACGATTAGTATTAGGTGATTCGTGTCGGTTGTTTCGTTGCAAAAGATATTATTGAGATTCTGTTGATAGATCCAGACGAGTTTTCTCACTATACTATATGTGACATCGTATGTTCAATGTGATAGGTTGTATGAGTACGGTTAGGAGACGATTGTGAGTTTATGTTGGTTAGTCTACTTACTATATGCGTGTTGGTACCTAGGAGAAGTTAGTTGTGTGCCTTCAGGTCCACTAGGAGAACAACTGGAAGTTCTTCAGGCCTTTGGGATGATGCATGTGAGCCTATAGTCCCAATGAAGTGTTAATCATGAGCCTTTATATGTACGCATTATGTATGTGATGTAATATGTGGTATATTCAGGAAATCACTAAGTTTTATACTTACATTTATGGATTAAATGTTTTTTAGGTTGTTCTGTTGTTAGAAGGATGGGAGCATCTTAACTGCATCGCACACGCATCATTGTTGATTTATGAATTAAACTTCCATTGATTTTATGATACTACCCTATTTTGGAAAATTTATATTATAATGATTGAACAAAAAGGGAATTTTATATTACTTTTGGGAACACGGTTTGTCGATATATTTTGTTCAAATAAAATAATTTTGGTTTCAAATTTAGGACGTTACACCTTTTTTGACCGAAAAATCTGTTGGAATTCGTTTAGTGGCGGATTGCGATGGAAATTCCCATCGTAAATAGGTTTTTTCTTTTCTTTTCTAGTAGTGTATATTTCATCAAAAGGCATGACTATGTTTTTATGTTTTATATATATATATATATATATATATATATATATATATATATAATATATATATATATATATATATATGTTTTTAATTGATAATTGATCAAATTGTTTCAAAAGTTTAAAACATTACTTCAGGTTTTATTTAAATAAATGCTTGTTAGTAATAATGGATTAGTAAATGGGCATTTATACCCATTTCTCTCTTTCACGTGTTTTTTTTAGCCTACTTGTTTCATAAGGTTATTCCTTACCTTATGAATAATCTTTCACCTTTGACCATCAACTTACTATCCCTCTACCAATAATTCTCCAAAACCTTTAATATGATTTCCTTTCTAGTGTGGGAAAATATAACATAGATGGTTTGTTTAGACTTGATAGCTTACCTGATGATTGTAGAAATACCTTATCATCTCCTTGTGGTGTTCCTCATTCCATATTGTATTAATGGCACCACTTATGTATAAACCAATTATCTGCAATAAAAATTAATAGTTACAACTAGGCTTAAGATGATTGGTGATAGACACATAGCCATATATGTAGATACATAATGGAAAAATCAAGTTCATGATATCAATTTAAAAAAATGAAATCGAACACATATATAAGGCCTTAACTCATGTTTGAAGTTAGAATTCTACTTAGAAATAATGAATCACATTGCATTTGCATGTTTTGGTGAAGTAAATAGCAATTTTAGGTTCACACTTCATGTGTACATAATATAAAATAAATAACTTGAAAATTAATTTGTATTTCTACTCATTATACTCACAAGTGGAGGAGTGAAGAACATGGGGCCAGCATTTTCCGCAGGCCAATGACCATCTTTTGCTTGGATTGCACGTTGTAGTCGGAGCGCTTTCTTCACTGTAATTGTTACAGCTTCCAAAGTGACATGTTCATCATCACATAGTCTTATTGGAGCTATGTCCATAAGATTGATTTTATTTTCCTTCATAAGCTATTCATAATATAACATGATTATCATGTTCATATATTAGCACAATAATTGAGTCCATAAGATCGATTTGATATTCCTTCATAAGTTATTCATAATATAACATCATTATCAGGTTTATATATTAGCACAATAACTGTAATCTTTATTTATAAATGATTTCTAGGAAAATTTATCATGCATTAAAACATAAATAACTTCATTTATACACAAAGTTGGTCTGTAAGAGGGGGGGGGGGGGTCCTTGGAGACCGCCTATGGCCTAACTAGTTTGAGGGTCACAAATTAATGTTAATCGTTTACATGGATTTTATAAGCTTCACAAAGGTATTGAATCTTAAAAACTGATGGATTAGTGGTGGCGGAAATTTCCCAATCGATTGATCGAAGCGGACAAGTTGAAGTGAAGCCCCCAACGAGACTACGACTCTATCTCTCTCACTCTCTAATTCTCTGAGTTTTCCGATTTCTAAGTCATCTGATTTCTAATTCTATGAAGTTCTACCATTCTACATACTGAATCCTAAAATATGAAGTTCTAAAGTTCAATTGTCAACCAAAATTGATTTTTCACTTAATATTTATTCTTTCATCTCTTAAGCTTTGTGGTGTTTCAAGTTGGGGTTAGTTTTGAGAAAGAAAGAAAGAAGTTCTAAAGGTAGAGGTAACATGGGAGAGACAACATAAGCATGTGTGGATTCTTTATGAGGGTTAGTTTAATTTCAACCTTTATTTCATGGATATATAACAATTAATAGTTCCATTTTAGTTTTATGGTTTTCATAATTTCTGTTGCATGATCACTTGTTAAAAAGGCTAAATGTTTTTTACTTTGAAGGTTATTAAGGGGTGAATTAGTACATGGTTTTTGAATTTTGTATGATTTCACGATGTTTTTGATATGTTTTATTCTTTATTCCATTTTATGTACTATAAGTTACAATTCAATGGGGGTATCCAATTGGTTGTATGATTAAGTTCTTTTATTGATAAAGGAAATGTGAGAAATGGTATGTATGATTTGGTTGCTTAAGTTGTTCGGAAGCCTGATTTGGCCCAAATTTCATAGCTACAAAACCTAGCAAGTTTATTGCCAATTTTAACCAATCATTTTTCTGAAAACTCTAAAAAAAAGACATTAATGTTCCAATTCAAAAAGTTGAAAATGTCAAGGATATAGTGAAATCTAGTCACTATAGAAAGAAAAAGTAATTCATGCATCCCACATTAAATAGTTCTGACATTTTGTTCCTTGAGATAGAGGCGAAACTATAGCAGAAGAGGCAGAGAGTAGGTTAAAGAGAAATCAATTAGTGAAATTCCCTTATATTACTTGAAATAAAAGCTCAACTGTCTGATATTCCTAGCAATCTTTCTCCCATCAGCCAAAATCACAAAAGTAGTGATCAATACGTAGAGAACATGGATATGTCGAAATCCATGTAGGATACATCAAATTTTATTGATTCCCTTACCATAGAATATGTCTCTACTATTTGAAAATGAAACTGTAGTACCATTGCCAAATGCAGTTACTGTCAATGATCCTCTTAAGTAGCTAAAATCCATATGGATCAATAAAAATGATGAAAAGTTTAACTATTGGATAAATGAAAGAAGTCTTTGTTTTTGCTAATTTTACCTTATCATGAAACCATCCATATAAAAATCTTCTACATAGTAAAAAAACCCTTCCACAAAACATCAATAGAGTAGAGATCTAAAATCTCTATTGTAGTATTGCACAGACCTCGACCATCCCTTCTTCTGATCGTATATATGCCATTTCCAGCCTAAAGAAACCCTTTTCCAAAGCATCTAAGTTTTTCACAGTCTCCAATCAAGTTTGAGTTCCTAAATCATTTCCATGTTTAGAGTTTAATTACATTTTAGGAATACTGGTCATGTGGCACGATGATTGGATTACCACTTCATGGTATTTCTACGTCACCACATTGCAGTAGTCATCTAATGACTGGGCCTCGCCGCCTCTTTGTGCACAAAACCCTAAGTTTTGGGCTTTGAGCATATATAAGCATCATTAACTTCTACGGTTTCTTATAGATTCAGCCTCCATCCTTCTATTCCGAACCCTAGCCCCCATGGTCCTTGTTTGAGGTGTTTAAAGCTCTAGGTGGCTTAAGGAGCTCTTTTGGTGCACATTTTGGAGCTTGTTTCCCTTCTTTCAAAAAAAGTCACTTGTAACTTCATTGCTTTTGCATTGTAAGTCTCCTGGAATTTGTTTCATCTTTATTACTTCCTAGATTTAGATTCCTTCATGATTTTTTGGCCATTTTGGAAAAAGGGACACCATGTTTTGGGAGTATGAGCAACTCCATAACTTCCGTGAGTTGTTGAGCAACTCGTTGGTTTGATGATGCAGAAAAATGTCCTTATGAATGTTTTGGTTCAGCCATGCAAAGAGTTAAAGGCTTAAATGCTCAAAACAAACTGAAAAGATTTAGATCTGAGAACCTAAGCCTTGATTGTTACGATTAAGTGCTTAATGAAGAGGTTAATCTTCCAGATAAACTGCGACATGGTGGTCAAGATTGTCGCGTCTATTTTGTCATGTCTAGACTATGACATGGTCAGGGGTTCGCCACGGCGTGGTGGGCCTTTGACTTTTGACCAAGTTTGACTTTTAGTTAATTTTAGTGAACGTAAGTCTTAAATCATTGAGTAAAGGAAAAATGGTATTTTTCCCTAAAAATGAGATTTGGAAAAGAATGACTCGTTTAGAGAGGAAAGTTAAGTATACTATCTTAATTATTAAATTATGGTTTATTATTATGTAGTGGTTCGAGGAAGTATCTATATCGCTTAGCTCGTTGTGTGGATTTCCTTATTAGTCAATCAGGTGAATTCTCATGAACTTACTTATTATATAGTCTATGTGTTATGTGTATGACGGTTAGAGACCATCCCCTTGGGGAATCTAGTTGGATTCAGGACCATGATAAAGTGTTCAAGGTTTGGATGGTCATGATAGACCCTTTGGGGGATGTGATTAGTCTTAGTTGGCAGTGTCTGAGATAGACCCTTAGGGGGAATCATCGTGTTGGTATATAATTGGTACCAATATTATGTGTTTAGAATATAAATGATAGTGTTTGATACTTGATGATTATATGTACGAAGTGGAATGCATATGATCTATATAATTAATAAGTGTCATGATTTCTCACTAAGTCGTAGGCTTATAGTTTCTATTTTTTGTCTTTAGTTGCAAGACCTTAAGGTTCGAAAGGCATGGAGCTGATTTGATAGGGATATCTGGATCGGGGGTATGGCATCAATTTTATGTTTATCATTTGTGACTTTGCTTTCAAAAGAAGAATTTGACTTCCGCTTTGGATGATGTTTTTCGTGATACTATATTGATCATGTTATGGATGGAAACTCCTTTTGTTTATTCTTAACTGATTTTTTGAAAGAAAAAAAAAATTATGGTTGTTTTTGGAATGTTACAAATACAAATAGGAAAGAGGGTGGATAACATGTTAAACTAATTACATAGCTACCAAACAATAAAGAAAAACTAATTATTAATGTCACATCAGCTTTATTACTGGGTAACCTTTTAAATTTGAGGATAATGAGTTAATTGAGAGGTTATATATGAGTTTAATGATCTATTGCGCAAAAAAAAAAGTTAGTGACCAATTCGGGTAAACAGCAAAAGTTATTATACCAGAGTGACATTTTCCATTCTTAAAACACATGGCGTATAATAGTTACTATCCTGCATATTTGATATACTAGATATAAATTGAAAAAAAAAAATTGTTGAAAATCATGGTGCTTGGTACCTGCATCCGCATCAGGAGATCGCCACAGGCATGTTGTCCTCCATTTTTCATATTATCTTTGAAGTTTTGGCGAATCTTTTCAATTTCTTCTTTCTCGTCAGGAGTTCCAGCATCTTGATTAAATTTCCAGTATTGTCTACCAACAAAGTTGTTAGTACTATACAAATAGGGGTCATCTCCTTCGGCTATTTGTAACTCCCACATCCTTCTCTTCTACTGGTCACCTCTTGTAGCAAGGGTTGAATATCTAACTTTATCAAAAACATGTGTCAAGCTTAACCTATTAGGATCACATTAATAAACAACATGTACACGATAATAGAGATGCGAATAAAATAAAAAACACAAGGAGTGAACAAGAATTGAACATGCGAAGAACATGGTTCACACGATCACAATGATCGATTAATCCACAGACGAATTGGTGAGATTTTTCTTAATTGTAGACGTCAACAAGCGTTTTTTGCTTTTCGGGATTGAACAAGAATTTTTTTAACTGTCTCAATAAATTTGATGAACCTTCTCAAGTTATTGCAAAAGTCTTAGCTATTTTGTGAAATGATTAATTGTATATACACTTTTGGCATATCCATCAGGACTATCACATATTAATTATTATAAAATAATAATACTATTTTGGATCTAGTTTGACATACAACACCTTTTATAAAGTTTCACATCTAAACTACTCCCATGACATTAGTTATGAGTAGTTAACTTTGAATAATATTTTAATTAATGTAGATCTCTAGGCTCTACACAACAAAGTATTTTGAAACCCTGGTCACCAGTCAGCCAAGTTCTAACATCTTGTCAACCTGGTTTTCAGATTTTCAATGCATTTAATATATTCCTTCGATTTCAAAGACATGATAGATTCAGGAATAACAAAGACGTGATAGATTCAAAGCGAGAGATTATGGATGCCATAACTTCAAGGTAGATGCCATAACTTCAAGGTAAAAGCTGACTTCAAGTCTTCGACAATAACAAAAAGATGAAAGTCAAGAACTGAAATATAATTAGTTTCTTAAAAAAGAGTCAAGCAGCAAAGATTTATTATTGTACTAATTGTTTTGGCAATGAGGTTGTTGAATTAAGACATTGAATTATTCTGACTTATCTTGAAAGAACAATCTCTAGATCATCACAGTTTCAAATATTATGAAATTGAGGTTCACTCATCTTGCACAACCACAGCCTGACCTCTACTTATTTCAGCATGTAAAAAAATAAAATAAAAAATAAAAAATCAGACGCATAGCGAGAGCTAGAGATTACCTTTGAGAAATCAAAATCTGAAGTCTTGCAATAACCGGAACTCGAAATCAGCAAGAAAAACCGTTGTGGAAGAAATGAAGATTAAACATTGGGTGGAACTCTCAAGTCTGAAATAGGAGTGGTATATATATATATATATATATATATATATATATATATATATATATATATATATATATATATATATATATATATATATATATATATATATATATATATATATTATTTTTTGACTGAGAAAATAGAGGTGGGAAGAGTCGTTGGGAAGCATGCAGATTAAATTTAGTCTAAGAAGCCCCAAAAACATGCATCTAAGCATGTGAGTTAAGTGTGATATATTTGTTTTATATATATACCTCAGGCAAAACAAACAAAAATATAAATTTTATATTGCATTACTGTCCAAAAAAATGGACTATCAAAATGAAAGAGGAAAGAAATTAAAAAAATTGTAAAAAACATATATACCTTCTCATAATGATAGTTGTCCACGTTTATATTTTCACACACACACAAAAAAAAATAAAAATAAAATAAAATAAATAAAAAATAAGTCATTTAGCTCTTAGACGAGTGGGTTACTTATGTGGTACCACAACTTATCATATTTTTGGTCATATTATTTTTTTCTCATCCTCTCTCACCCTAGAAAACTAATAGAAAATGGTACCACACACACCATATTTTTTTAAAATAAAATTTAATAATTATATAAATATTTAGAATACATATTTAACTAAAACGATTACATAGCTAAAAACAAAAATTAAATAAAAATGATACAAGTTAAGTTTAACTGTAATATTTTACATGATTTTCTCTCTAACCCTCAAAACCATCTCGAGTTAGTTTTCGGAGAGATGATCGATGTTGTGTGTTAAAAATTCCATATCGGAAGTTTTTTTTTTATTTTACCACTCGATTTCTTTGCTTCTCATCTCGAGCTTTCTTTTTCTCATCCAATTTCTCCTTTTCGAAATTCAATCAAGTTTCGAAATTCAAATTATAAATTTTGAAACTACTAGCGACCCATCGAACGTCATCTCCTCCTTCGCTTCCCAATGTATTTGTCGACAACCCTCATTTTTTCGCCTTATCTTGACCCAACTGACGGACTATCTCTTCGTGTTCAAGCTCATCCTCATATTCATTCAAATCAAACCTGAAACGAGCATTCGATGAAGTAGTGTCACTCATCTCAGAAACGTTGGTTCTCTTCGAACCACCTTCTTCGCTACCCTACTCTTTTTGTCACCTTGGGTGTAATATCTAGTTTCACGGTGTTTCTTATTTCAGGATTATAAATCGTAATTTGATCAAGTAAAGGGCTCGGGCTTCAAGAAAATAGAGTCATACCATCCATCAAAATATCAAAAAAAAAAACTTTTTGATTACCAAACTGATCCCATCTTTAACTCCTATTTCTAACATAATCGGCTTTACAAAATCTCCATTTTTGCACTTGTTTAGTGGATGCCAAGTTGGCAATGGATCGGTTGCCATATTGCAAAAAGTACAACATAATGGCAAACCATTTGTGGCCAAAAGTTAGGAAGTCAAAGGAACTCCCGAAAAATTTGAAAATGGATATATTGTAATGGAATACAATGGGCTGCAAAATTGGTTGCTAAGATTGTTTTGGTTTGATGTATTCGGCTAGATCGGTAAGATTGTTTTGGTGGATTTTTCCTTAGTAAAAGGTTACAAGTGCCTAATTTCACATACATTGAACAAAATTGAAACTTGAGTAATTAGAACAAAAAGTATAAAAACCACAAGTTAAATAATTATCAAACTTGATTACTATTTAGGCATTTCGCCTTTTTATACGACCTCCTTCGACAAGCTATATATGGCTTAATGTCAGTTATGAGAATGAGGGTATTAACATCTTTTGCACAAACAAGACAAAAACTTTCATTTTCTTTCACAGTCTAAATCTAAGTCTCAGTCTGATATATATCAAACACAGTACAACATGTTATGTAATGTCTTTAATGATAATCAGCGAGTCTTAAATGCCACATCAGCAGATAACCCTTGAAGTTTCATCATACAATAATACTTAACCGGTGCCACCGCACCACCTTTCGTACACAAATCAACAACCGCAGGGGCATGTCCGTAAAATGACCGCCACTTATCCTCAAGAACAACCGGATCTTGAGGCCTACGAAACCACACCACCTTTTCAGGCACCAAATCATCCACCTCGGCTTTTTTCCAAAAATGCCCTCCACGCCACTTCTCATACTTAAACACCCCACACAATCGCGCCTTATGTCCAGATGGGCCCACGTGAACCTCCGAACAATATTTACAAACTTTAGCCGAATAAACCATCATCAACTTTTGAACACCTGATCTAACCACCTCCCATGCATTTAAAGTTCCTTCCGAAATTACCCTTAGATCATTGGGTGATAAAGATTCAACACCTAAGCATTCAATTTTGTTTCCGGATATACCCTCGTGGTCAAAATCAAAATCAGCACCTGCTTGGAGCGCGAGTTCAAGAATTGCGGGTATTCGGTTGTAATCGAATCGTTCATCGTGTTTGATCACATTTTGGAACATGGTTTTTAGGTGGAATGTGTTTACAGGGACAAGAATGTCATTTATACCTCCTTTGATCCATTCGTGGGGTTTGTTCTTGGAATGACGTTTGTACCCATGGCAGGTTTTGATTGCGTGACCCTTTTCACCAATGTATACTTCTTGACAGAATCTGTAAGTGGAAGATAGTGTATGTGTGTTTTATCAATCATCAAACCAATTGTATGTTTATTTTGAAGAAACAAAAGGTATAGAAAAAGAAGAAGAAGAAGAAGAAGAAAGACAGTGAATGAGAGATAGAGAATACTTGCAAGACCAGATGGGTATTACTTGGAGAAGAGTGGATACGCCTTGAATCAAAAGGCTTCTTGATCTTACGACATCATAAGCAACAGGGATCATCTCTTTTACTGGATAATATTTGGCTCGATTCTCGATCCTCTTCAGAATCATGGGCCTCAGTTTCTTAAAATCTACTTTTGGATTTGATCTGTAGTGTCGAGTGATCCCAATTAACCCTTGCACCATGATTGTGTTATACCATAGTCTCGGATTCTTCATAGCTGCCATATATGTATATTATATCAAATGAGAAGCTTTTACAAATGTCTAATGGATATATACAATCATTCGAACCCTAGAAATTCCTTCGTCGGGATCAAATGAAGACTCTTTAAAAATGGAAACATTCAATGTGATTTGTGAATTCAGTTCGCAATTGATCGAATTAGCGTTCAAATGAAACATGAAATTGATTTCATGATCAACAAACATCAACGAGACTAATGAGCATGCGGCAAAGGAAATAAGGCCAGGTAAAAAAAAATTAAAAAGCAGGAAATTAAGATACGAAGGAAAACCTCTAAACACAAAATTAATGAAGAAAGATGAAGAGATTGTGATGTAGTTACTTGTGCAGGTGCTCGGATTTGGAGATTCGCTGCTGTGAATGCGAAGAAGATGAAGGTAGCTAGGTGTTCTGGACTTCTGAATCACCAATATCAGTTATCCAAATGGGCTTCAGTGCTGATCCAAGCCCATTAACCGTACTGTTGTAGACTTGTAGTTATCAGAATGGGCTTCGTTGCTGATATACAGAAAAATGTCATTATTATTTTGAAAAGGTTTTTTTATATTTTGAAAAATGTCATAAATATGCATATATACCACGTGAATGTGTTGAAATTTATATATGCGCTTGATATTAAACTTTTGAATGGTTACAGTTTTTCTAACATATTGTACGTTGTTCCTTTTTGTTGCTTTTAGTCATGTTGTTGTTTTCAAGTTTTGATGTTGATCTATTAGTATCAAAGTTGTATTGCGTTAGGCCTAGGTGTTATCTTCTTATATTTTGTATTGTTTGTAAATGGACCAGCTCCACGTTAATTAATAATAAAAAAAAACATATGTATTTTAAATGATACTAATGTATGTCTCGTTGTAATAACTTTTTGTATTGTTTGAAATCATAAAAACATTATGAACACAAACTACTATGGATTTCTCATTATATATTAATAAAAATGATAATATTAAAACTAGAATAGATTTATCACACATTATCTAAAGGAAACAAAAGATATCATAAGATTTTAGATTATTTATTTCCTTACTTATGTATTCTATCTTTGGTTTTTTCCCTTCTATTGTTGGGAGTTTGTTTTTGTCATTCACATATATATCACAGAGATCTGTTTTACATCTCTGTACATTCAATCAATAAAATACAAAAGTTGGTTCTCACCTATAATTTTCATGGTATCAGAGCAGGTTATTTAAGTCTTTCAGGTGACCATGGTGGGAGAGAAAGGAGGAGATGGCAACAAGAAGGTGGATGATGGAGAGACGATTGATATCAACTCACCTCTCTATGTTCATCCTTCTGAATATCCAAAACAGGTACAGGTGAACTACATGTTAAACGATAACAATTATAACGAATGGAAGCAGGAGATGGTGAATTTCCTGCTTACGAAAAACAAGATGGGGTTGGTCGATGGCACCATCAAGAAACCTGAATCAACGTCACCTCTACACTCTGTGTGGGTATGTGCAGACGCAATGATCAAGGGATGGTTAACAGCCGCGATGGAGAAAGAGATTCGAACAAGCGTACGATACGCAAACACCTCAACAGAAATCTGGAGAGATTTAGAGGAACGGTTCGAAAAGGAAGGAGCACCTCGCGCCTATGAATTGAAGCAAACCCTAAACTCCATGCGACAAGAAGGTACCACTGTTTCCACTTATTACACCAAGCTTCGATCCATCTGGGATGAACTCCAAATGGTTCTTCCTACACCTCACTGTAAGTGCAGTGGTTGTAATTGCAATATTGGGAAACAACTAAATGAAGTGAAAGAGAAGGAGAAGGCGTACGAATTTCTGATGGGACTTGACGAAGATTTTGCGGTTATACGCACCCAGATCTTAGCCATGAAGCCGACACCATCGTTGGGGACTATCTACCACCTGGTGGCAGAAAACGAACAGCAAAGGGCAATCACGGGAGGATCGAAAAGAGCCAGCGCTGAAGCATCCGCTTTCCAGGCTAATTACAACTCGCAAAGAGGGTACCAACAACATCAAGGGAAGCAGAACACGCATGTGACAAATAAAACAACACAAAAGGCCACAAAATCAGAACACGACAAGAAAGAAAAATGTACATTATGCCAGAGAGAGGGTCACAACAAAGAAGGATGTTTCAAGATCGTTGGGTACCCGGAATGGTGGTCGGGCAAGAAAGATAAGCCGAGACCTAAAGCTGCTTGCGTAGAGATGGTGTCAAGTCATATACCAGGGCTGACAGATGAACAATATCATTTATTTGTCACTCACTTCAAGGAGAACGGAAACATGGCAGGCAACGAAAATCAACCAAGGGCAAACATGGCAGGTAAAGATCTCACATGTGATGGTTGGGTTGTTGATTCTGGCGCAACTGAACACATGACTTGTAGAAGTGACTTCCTACAGAATAATACCCAAAACCCTAAAGGGGCACCAGTTATCATTCCTAATGGGGATAAGGTGCCTGTCATGGGAGAAGGCGAACATACTCTTCCAGGATGTGTTAAGATAAAAGGAGTTTTGTTTGTTCCCACTTTTGATTATAATCTTCTTTCGGTCAGCAAACTTGCAGATGATCTTAACTATGCTGTTACCTTTTTCCCTGGTTTCTTTGTTATACAAGAGTTGGGGACGAAGCACTTGATTGGAGCGGGTAACCGGGTTGGAGGACTGTATCGAATGGGGACAATGAAGATGAACAAAGCCCTGCTAACCACTTTCGATGTATGACACAAGAGACTTGGTCATCCATCAACTAAGAATATTTCACACTTAGACTTTATTCATGTTTCAAAGGATAATCATAAGTGTGATGCTTGTTTTAAAGCCAAACACACACGCCTTCCTTTTGCTACTAGTGAAATAAAAACACTTGCATGTTTTGATTTGATACATTGCGACGTGTGGGGGAAATATAGAACCCCATCCATGAATAAAGCTTATTACTTTCTTACTTTAGTAGAGCTGTATGGACTTTTTTTCTAAAACACAAACATGAGGCGAGCACATGCCTTATAGACTTCTGCAAAATGGTCAAAACGCAATTTGGAGTTCAAATCAAACGAATACGGACTGACAATGGGGGAGAGTTTGTGTCAAACAACATGAGAGATTTCTATGCTCAAGAGGGCATCGTTTTGGAGACGTCTTGTCCACACACCCCACAACAAAATGGGGTGGTGGAACGCAAGCATCGACACTTGCTTGAAACCGCTCGTGCCCTACGTTTCCAAGCTAACTTACCAAAGACTTTCTGGGGAGAATGTGTTTTAACAGCGACTTATGTCATCAATAGAATGCCCTCGAAAATTCTGCATGGGCCCACGCCTTATGAGGTCTTATTTAAACAAAAACCCTCATACGAACACATGCGGGTATTTGGTTGCTTGACCTATCATCGGAATATAGACACCAGGGGAGACAAGTTTGAGCAGCGTGATAAACCTGGCATCTTTGTTGGTTACCCACCGGGCACCAAAGGTTACAAGATATATGATTTGGAGAGTAGAAAATAGTCATTTCACGGGATGTTCGATTTCTTGAAAACGACTTTCCCATGAACCACACCAAACCCGATGAAGAGACGCGACATGAGGACCTGTTTCAGCTTGACGACGAAAACAAAAATACTCCAATTCCTAATAATGTTATGCCATATGACGTTGACATTGAGGATGGAGTGGTGACTAATGAGCCAATGGAATCTGTGTCTAACCAAGTCACTAATGAGACCACCACACAAGTTGAAACACAAACTGATGACATAAACATCGCTTCAAGTCCAGATGCAACTACAGCTCCGAGAGTGAGAACACACCCAGTTCGATTCCAAGACTTTGAAGTTCGTCTTCCCCCATCGATCAGTCATCCTCCACCCGCCGCCAATCGAATTGCTTCTACGGTACATCCCCTCTTTCTTTATGTTACTGATAATAAATTCACTCGTTCTCACAAAGCTTTCTTAACGGCCATTGTTACAAACAATGAACCAAAAACCTTTAAGCATGCAGCTCGTGATCCAAAGTGGAGAGATGCAATGAAGTCTGAAATCAAGGCTTTGGAGGATAATGACACGTGGGATCTCACGGATCTTACAAAATGAAAAAGGGCGATTGATTCAAAATGGATATACAAGATTAAGTACAAACCCAATGGTGACATAGAGCGATACAAAGCTTGTATTGTAGCAAAAGGGTATACACAATTGGAGGGTGTAGATTTTCACGACACCTTCGCCCCGGTAGCTAAACTTGTCACGATTCGAATCCTTTTAACCATGGCGGTGAAAAACAATTGGATAATCCAGCAATTAGACGTGAACAACGCCTTCTTGCATGGTGACTTAGAAGAAGATGTCTATATGAAGATACCACAGGGCTTCGGTAAAGAAGGTGAAACTCGGGTATGCAAATTAAAGAAATCACTCTACGGCTTGAAACAAGCAAGTAGAAATTGGTATCACAAGTTCACAACTGCTTTACGTGAACTTGATTTTCAGCAATCTCATGCGGATCACTCACTTTTTATTCATAAGTACAAGCACACCTTTGTGGCAGCTCTTATTTATGTAGATGACGTTGTGATTGTTGGTAATGATGCCACCAAAATTGAAAGCACTAAAGCCAATCTGCATGCACGCTTTAGTATTAAAGATCTTGGCAACTTAAAGTATTTTTTAGGTATCGAGGTCTCGAGAACAAAGGAGGGTTTAGTCCTCAGTCAACGCAAATACACCATGGACATTTTGGAGGACTCAGGCATGCTTGGTTGCAGACCCAGCCGGTTCCCCATGGAACAAAACCTCAAGCTTGACAAATGTGATAAAGAAGAGAGCATAGATGCAAACATGTATCGTCGTCTGGTTGGGCGTCTCCTGTATCGTCAAGCGACACGACCAGACATAACTTATTCCGTTAATATCCTCAGTCAGTTTGTGTCAGACCCTAAACAAATTCATTGGAATGCGGCGCTACGTGTCTTGAGGTACCTTAAAACCACGATGGGCCAAGGTATTCTTCTTCCTCGCGATGGTCCAACAGAATTGGTAGCATATAGTGATTCAGATTGGTTGGGTTGTCCCTATTCTCGTCGTTCCAGAACTGGGTATTTGTTACTCTTGGGTGGTGCTCCGGTCTCATGGAAATCGAAGAAACAATCTGTGGTTCCGCGGTCTTCTGCTGAAGCGGAATATCGTGCCATGGCTACGACGGTGAGCGAGATTCTATGGGTCTGTTGGCTACTTTCGGAACTTGGTGTCTCTATTAACCAACCTACAACTCTCTTCTGTGATAATGAGTCTGCTCGACACATTGCTCATAACCCAGTTTTCCACGAGCGTACTAAACACTTGGAAATGGATTGTTTCTTTGCTCGTGAAAGGGTGGAGTCCAAGGAAGTCATTCCGGTTTGGACGCACACAAGGAATCAGTTGGCGGATTTGCTTACAAAACCTCTTGGTGGAGATCAGTTGAAGTCTCTTTTGGTCAAGTGGAACATTCGGAACCTTCATGCTCAACTTCAGGGGGAGTAAAGGAAACAAAAGATATCATAAGATTTTAGATTATTTATTTCCTTACTTATGTATTCTATCTTTGGTTTTTTCCCTTCTATTGCTGGGAGTTTGTTTTTGTCATTCAATCACGAACACTTCAATCACAACAAGCAATATTATAGTAAACTGGTATTTAAGTCGCTCCATGCATTGCGACGGAGGACTTCTTTGCAATTAATGAAAACAAATGTTATAAAAAAAATTATGTAAGGGTTAAACAACATAACTTTATAATATAGTAAGGGATCAAAATCACAACTTATAAAATACCAATAATTTAACTTTAAAATTATGAAGGATGAATATTGTTAAATCAAATTTTTTTTAAAGGAATAAGTGTAAATTTGAAAATCTGTTATGACCAAAGGAAAAATCGTTATTTTTAGATATATGCTTATTTTGTATCTTGTATTTGTATGTTGTAAAATTTATATTGTAATTCAGCTTGTGAAATACAGAAAAGCAAAATCCTAAGATGTTAAATAAACAATAAAAGAAATTGATCATGTAAAATAAGATGAAATCCAACTATTAAGAACATCTTAGAACTTATAATCCATTCATGAACCTAAATAAGAACATTTGTAAATAAAAATACATTGTCAAAAGGAACAAATATTTTCGTGAGTTTTTTTATTTCAAATAGAACCAAAAACCTCCAAGCTATCATGAGATTTGTATTCTTCTCATAAAATAAATAAAAATATTATTAGCATTGTATAATTGTATAAGTATTTATATGAAATAAGACAAGAAATTGAAAATTATGGCCACCTTTTAGAGTTGGATGTTTCACTTGGATGGAAACCTTTGAGATGAAGGATTTTTATAAGTTTTTTCACGTTGTCCATATATACCCAAACGCAAACACTTTTAAACTCTTCTGATGGTTTAATCCTATTTTTTCTTAATCGTCTAGGCATAAATACTCACTCCATTGTGAAAACACAAAATCATAGTTTTCAATTTTCTTGCATATGCTATAAATTCTTTTCAGCTCTTCTGACTCGATAACTATTTTGATCCACATAAACATATCAAATTTCCACGTGATATAATTCAATTTTGACTTTTTTTATATGTTCCTTGAAATAATATTGTACAAAAAGAAAATTCTTTGCTATAATTTCATGTTGAATTCAATAAATGTCCTTTACAAGAACATACAAGAAAAAGTGATATAGAAGGGTGCATCTTACATTTAGGTGGATTCACGAAATCATTGTCATCAAGGTTTAAAAACCTGTTTGCCTTATCTGAAAACACTATCTTGAATTTTTTTTGTAGACAACCGCAAAACTTCTTTGTCTTTCTTCCATTCCCGCAAATATAAACTCCAAATACAAACAACAGCAAACTACTTCGTTTTCTTCCATTCCGTGTACTGTGTACATTATTCAACATGTTTAAGATTACTAATTATTTAAACATTTAATCCAACCATCTAATCATAACCATTAATTATCTTCATCCAAATGCCCAA